TCCAACCAACTGTTGAAACAAACTGTGAATTCACCCTTGCTTTATGTCTGTAGGTTGAGAGCAGATGCCTTTCTGGAGGACAGGCTTTTGCCAAACTCAAGTTATTGGTCTCAGCCCATGGGTAACTGGGTGAAATGGGATGGCCTAAGACACAGGCAGCCAGACTGGATCAAGAGGTACCTTCAATTCTATGAAACTGTGAATGAATCCATTTTCTTGAAAACATCCTGGCCCATCATTATCTACTGTTTCATCTTCATCTCTTTTCCTACAAATCTATGCCTAATTTGGCTTTGGTGTATTTGTTATGATCCTGCAAAACCACAAGTAGTCCTTATCCATGGATGTATGAACCTGATGGGAGTAAGGTTTTGCTAGCTTATTTCTATTGCAAGAGCATGTAGAAATCTTTTGTGCCAGGTGCTAGACAAACAAAACAAAGACTCTTCCCTGTCTGCAAAGTGAATATCCACATGAAGAGACAACCAGTGGATACAGAGGGACAAATGCATGGACATGTGACAACATAGTTTTTAATTTCTCAGACAGGAATAGACATTATTCAACCAAAAAAGGGACTAATACTTTTTGAAAAGAATACTGCTTTTTTTTTTTTTTTCCATAATTTGATCTACTGTCAGCAACTTGGCATTTATACCACAGGTGCCATATCAGCTTAACCATACTGATGAAAAAGAAATGCATTCATTTTTGGCAGTTTCAAGTGGCTAAAACAGGAAGTAACCATAGTATCCCATTATAGAACTCAACAGAGACTGTCCCTCTATGTAAAGATTAACTCTACAGAATTAATAAATCCCTAATTCTCTCTAATCTCTGTCAGTGGGTTTAAAAACTCTCCAGAAAGGATAGGCTATTTTTTTTCAAATATCTGTGGAACCAGATTGGTCTCATTCATATTAAATACTATACAACATTTCCATAAGCATCAGAGAGTTTGAAAGAGATTGACCTACCCAATAGGTTGTCTAGTCTACTTCCTGGACATCAACAGCTCAAATAATGGTGAGCAGATTTTTAAAACAGTAATTTTGTATCTATGCAAGAGAGAGTAAAGCAACAAACAAATCCCATTGTTATGTCATCTCCTCAGTGTTCAGGACCTGGCCCGTTAAATAGTTTGGTATGCTTTGAAGCTGATTTTCAGAAGCGTTCTTTCAAAGTTAATGGGACAGCTACAGCTGTATAAAATTAAGCTCTGCTTCATGCCCTTGTTGACATTCACATTTCCAGGGTTTAACCAAAGGTGTGGGGTTTTAATTGATTTAATTAATGCAAACCACCATGTAAACAGTCTTAAATTCGTTTTAATTGGGCTTCTTTTGCTTCAGTTTAATCTAGTAAATAGAAACCAGGGTTAAATCAATTTAGAAGTCTCCACTGGAGTCTTGCACTGCTTCCGAGCAATCAGTTTAAAATCCCATTTTAGCAAAGCTGGGGTGAGAACTGGTGTGTAGACAAGTGTTTGCAGATTCAGAGCCTGAGCTTCCTAGGTGATAGGCCTCTCATAAATACCATAACTGTGTTTACTCTATGTAGGATGCTGTAGACTAGAGGAGATGGGATGAACCAGGAGCTGGCTATTGTTTGATAAACTTCAATGACTTCCTTGTTTCCTCATGCCATTCTGTGAGCTGGGTGATTCAAATGAAAGTCATCACTCAGGGGCTGCTCAGCCTGCTCTGTATTGGCTATGGTATTTTTCCGTGGCAACCCCACCAAGGACAGGCTCCTGCCATCATTGCTCTCCCATGTTTGTACTGAGACTGTGAAGAAACTGTTGCACGTCACTCAGTGGGAGCAGGAGTTTTTCTCTGTTACCAGTCAGACAAAAGCAAAGCATTCAGAGTGAGGCCCAAGCTTGGAATGCTGTAATAATGGGAGGGTGTTGTGACAGCCGGTAATGGGAGTCAGGATTTGGCCTTTCTTTGGGGTGAGCTGGTCTCAAGGATAATAAGCAGCGAGTCCCAGTGTTTTGCAGTGTGGAGGAAAAGTCTTCTTTTCTTTGGGAAAATGAATGGCGATTGTACAAGCAAACCTGTTGTAATACCCTAACCCCTCTTCTAGGAAGGAAACACTGTGTGTGTCTCCACAAGACACATTACTGTGTATTAGACTACACTAATGTGCAGTAAAGCATCACCATCTACATGTGTGCATCAATAACTGTGCATTAAATTAGTCTAATGCTTTGTTTGCTAGTACCAATATATACAGGTACTAGAAAACAGAGTGCATTATTAACTAAGTGCAATTTGCTCTCAGTGAGCTCAGGCAGCAGGGGGTCACTGTTGCCTGGCTAAGCCCTGATCTCCTCTCTTCAGGGTTGGGGGGGGGGGGGGGGGGGGTTGTCCCAGCTGCAGGGCAGCTGCCTCCCAGACGCGTGGAGATCAGGACAGGTCTGGGAGGCTAGGAGGCAGCTGCCCCCACAGCTGGGACAGCTCTCTCCACCTTGTGGAGATCAGGACAGGTCCCGATCTCCATGTGGCTGAGAGGCAGCTGCCCTGCAGTCAGGACAGCTCCCCACATCTCATGGAGATTGCAGAGCTGGGACAGCCCCCACTCCCTGCCCCAGAGATCAGGACCAGCCCCCACTCCCCCTGCCAGCCTGGGGCTGGCACCTGGGGGAGCCTGAAGCTCCCTCTGGATGCTGCAAGGGGGCAAAGCAGGGCAGAACCAGCCCTGGACTGAACTGCTCCTGTTGGGAGCAATTTTGTTTCCAATGGACGCATGTTCAGATGCATGTCCAAGGGCACTTTAATTAACCTGAATTTTCTGCGCAGAAAATTCAGGCCCATTAATTGACATGTAGTTAGTTATGCCCACTGTGGAACAATCCAGTTACTATTCAAGTCAGTGGAAGCTTTGCCATTAGCTCTAGTGGGACAGATTCAGGATAGGATGATGTGCCAGTGACAAGAAGACAAGTTCCCCAAACACTTTTAGCCTCCCCAAGGTGTCAGCAGCAGACTCACTCCTAAGACATCTCTGTCTGCAGTGGTCTAGCACCCTGCTGAAATGGGGAATGCAGCATGATCAACACCTTGAACAAAGAGGGTCTGCTTGCATGGACATAGGGCATAAGGATACCCTGTGGCTGCAATTGCACAGACCACTTTGTAACCAAGATGCTGGAGAGGGGTTATATTGCTGTTGCTACAGGGTTCCTGCTGCAGTTCTTTCTGGTTTATTGTAGAGGGGTTAGCAGAATGTGAAAGGAAATAGGTGCTTGCTACTGCTGTGAAATAATTAATCGAGGGGATGGATACAAATCCTGATAGTTTGTAGCCTGCTCTGTGTAGTTATTAGACCCCAGAAGGGGTCCAAAGATTGACCTAGTTGGGGCTTTTATGATGATATTGCAGCTGTACACCCCATCTTCCTTGCTTAAACCCAGCCCCCCAAATCACTCTGCTGTTGAACTAGTAGCCTGGACATTGAATGGTAGCTGGATTGCTCCCGTTTCCTTCCTAGGAGAAGTGTTCAGGTATTAAGACAGATTCACTTCTACACTCCCCATTCATTTTCACAAAGAAAAGACTTTTCCTCCACACTGCAAAACACTGGGACTTGCTCGCTGCTTATTATCCTTAAGATCAGCTCACCCCCAAGAAAGGCCAAATCTTGACTCCCATTACTGGATGTCATAACACCCCTCATCATCCCCCAAATTACCGCTCCGTTCAGTGGGTAAAGGGGCAAAGTTAACAGTAAGAGCCCCTCTGGGGGTAGGATGTGGAGAGAGCGGGGAGTGGATAAAGGAGAAAAGGCAACAGTCTTTTCCCTTCCTGGGAGAGCCAGGCTGCCCTTTCAGCGGCCCTGTCAGGCACTGATAACTCCCCTTCTGATGCATAAGCTAAATTGAGAGCTGTTCAGTACTTTTTATGAAAGAAGGTGCATGAAGGTGTCAGTCGGGTCACAGACTGCTGCTGAGCAAGAGGCAGGCAGGCAGAGGCAGGCGGAGGTACCAGCGAGTTGCGGGGGCAGTGATAAAATATGGGGGGGAGAGAGAGAGTTGAAGAAAAGGGTTTCCAAAAGCGTCCCTCCAGCCCCTTGGGAGGGTACTGTGTTTCACAGCAGAGGCAGAGAGCAAAGACAGCTGGCCATGCTGTTCCCGAGCAGATATTTCAAGGAAATGGCTAAGAAACCAGGCGGCTCCACCGGGCTCGACGGCGCGGAGCGGGCGCTGCCCTTCTGCCCCGCCGGGCTGCAGAGTTGAAGAAAAGGGTTTCCAAAAGCGTCCCTCCAGCCCCTTGGGAGGGTACTGTGTTTCACAGCAGAGGCAGAGAGCAAAGACAGCTGGCCATGCTGTTCCCGAGCAGATATTTCAAGGAAATGGCTAAGAAACCAGGCGGCTCCACCGGGCTCGACGGCGCGGAGCGGGCGCTGCCCTTCTGCCCCGCCGGGCTGCAGTATTGGCACCCCCTTCCTGTGCCGGGACAGCAGCCGTGCGCCCGCGGGCGGCTACCAGCACCCAGGAGGGAACAAGCAACCAAACGACAAGGCACGAGGAAGGGCGCGGCGCTGGGCAGCGACCCCCGG